CACAATCTCAACGGCCAATCCAATTCTGACACCCCAATCCAACAAGAACCAAACCGGTATTAACCTGTTAGGAACGATAACAACAACAACATCATACAAAGATTCAATAAAAACTTACCAAATCAAGACTAAATTCCTGAAAATCTTCCATACTACTAAAAAAAATATTCCCACCCATCCTAACTTAGCTGTTTATGGATAGGCATAAGCTATCCATGAATCACTTTTGGTGTGGCACCACTTATTTAGTGTAATGTAGCATTAAAAGTTATATATGCAATAGGCTAGAATTAACTCTCACCAAATAAGGTGATGTAGGATTTTTAATGTAATGACAGTACTATCATTTAGTAAATAAAGTCTCGCATTTTATGCTTATAAAAAAAAAAAAAAACTAATAATTATTTGTATAAACTAATATTTAATTTATATAAATTAAAAACTATAATTTTTTTTTTGATTATATATATTAATAAGATTGATTTTTATATATTGCTTTTAAGTTTTTATATAAAATTTTTTTAAAAAAATAATTTATTTAAAATAGTTTTTTTCTTTAATAATATAATCAAAAAATTTTTAATTAATAGTTGCTCAATTAATATTTCCTTATTTAATATTTATTTACAACTTTTTATTATATCTTTTATTGAATGTTTATTCAATAATTTTATTTAACCTTTTATTTAATTTTTTATTTCAAATAGTTTCAATATAATTTATTATTTAATAATTATTGATTTTTTATTTAATATATAAGAACTAAAATTTCGATTTTTTATTTAAATTTGCTATGATAATTTATTGAAGATTGTTATAATTTTTTAGATAATAAATCGAAATTTTATAGGTAATGTGATCAGTAATAAAATATTTTAGTTAAAAGATAACCTTAATTGTAATAAATAATTTTTATCACTCAATTAAGATTATAGTAATTAACATTTGAAATTAAATAATTAGAATTGATCGTTTCAAACATTTTTATATAATACTATTCATAAACAAAGATTTCCGCCTACGGAAATTCTACAGTAAAATATTGTTTCACCCCAATGATATTGTGGTTTTCTTCTTAAATTCATCAGATTACTCATCCAGATGAGAAAATAGTAAATTCTAAATGTCTGCAACCTTGCATGACACAATATTATGAAATTAGTTAATAATATTTTATTAACAATATGCTAATTTGTTATAATTTCCTTATTTTAACAAATGATTCGCCGAATTTAATCCGGTAAATATTAATAAATACATTTTAAATAACTTCATCTTTTACATCGCGTAAAAAAATTCTTCAGAAGTTTCATCATTTAGTATGTCATCTTCCTCTTTTAATGGAGCATTGTAATTAGTTATATCGGAATTTATTTGCGGTTGTGAGAGTTCTTCCAATGCAGTTGATGATGCAAAGCCACCAGACCGCTCCAACTCTGCAGATGGGCCCCGTTGTTGCAATTTCGCTGTAGCCATCCTTAATGCATTATAATCTTCTTGTTGTCGTTGTAGTACCATCATTCTTTCTTGTTGTGATGATTTTCTTGGCTCCGGTTCCATCACCGTGACAGATGTTGTCGCATTCGTATCATTCAATGAAGATGCAGATATCTGTTGTGACAGAGACGATTGTGATCTTGTCACATCCAATGATTGTGGTAAGGGTGGAATCGAATTTGCCATATCATCTTTATCCATAAAGTATGATATCACACTTGGGTCGGCCTTCTCGACAGCTACAAATTCAGAGCCACGAACCTTTCCTAGAGGTTTTGTTTCGCTGTAGACCATCTTTCCATCCTTTGATATCGAAATATTTCGTTTTAATAATGACATTGGTGATTCAGATATCGATGTAGATGCCACGGGGGGTACTGTGATATTTGCAGCAGAATTTTTTGAGGTGGCGGAGGTGGAATGCATGGCATACTTATCCGTATTAACGGCGCTTTTTTCTACAAATCGATCAATGTAAGGGTCGGCGGGAGAAGTAGGAGTTCCTACACCGGTACCTGGCGTGTTGCTAGCTTTGGTTTGTGAAAGTGCAAAGGATTCACCGTTTACAGAGCCGGTATTAATTATATTACTGACAGATGTTGTACCCACAAATCCTTTCCGGGGATAAAAGATTAAAATGAGAGCTAGCCATTCGATTATTGATGCAATGTTAATGTGAGCTATCAATATATCACTAGAAATTGAAATGAAACAATTAATAATTACAATAATATAACCATATATTAATTTATTTAACCGTTGCTCAAAGCCATCCAATACACTCCATACCTGGCAATCTTACTACCGTTAATAGGTCGTGTGGTAGAAGTAAGGTCAATAGCCAGCACGAAAAAGCTTGCACACATCACAAACAACGTTAACGTGAGTACTTTATTCATGTCAAGAAAGTATCGAATTTTTGCAATGATGTGTGCTATATTCCTATTGCCCGATGCATCCTCGATTAATTTGTTAAATTTGAAATGCGTTCGAATTCCTAACATTGATATAATAAATAATTGAGAAGCGAATAATAATTGGGGGATAACCTGAAGTTGGACAAAAAAAAATGAATTAATGAATTCTCTAATGTGTTAAAATAATCGGTATATAGATATGTAATAAATATACAAGATGATTCCATTAGCATACCTCTCGTAGTAAAAGGTTATTTCGGAAGATAACTTGTAATACTGGATAAATGCATATAGATATCGAGCTACAAACAATATATAGTTTAAATTCAAAACTTGACATGAACGAAATTTTTGCAATTGAATTGGATAGGTAATTCCAGAAACATTGTAATAAAAACAACGTTCCACTATAATAATAAAAAGTGTTGTGATGAGATATGTCAGAATGTAAATAATAAATAATAATTTTATGCTTAGCATGCATGAGGGCAAAACTTACATTTGCAAGCTGAAACCTACCATTTCGGTATAATAACTTGGGGTGATCCACATTTTATTTTCATCCGACCACGTGCTTTCCGGTTTAGATCGAACTTTATTGTTTGAAAATAGGTATAGGCCTTCTGTATATTTTATTTTGGACTTTTTTGGAGGGAAAAAAATTAATCGAACTATAGCCTTGACGCCAAAACCAAGAAAGCAAGTAATTACCGAAACAATATCATAAAATGAACCTAGCGGTAATGCCAGTAATATGAAAATGGTGACGTATGACCTTAATTCCAGTGATCGTATTCGATGCCACTTCAATGCCGCAAATTGGTCACACTATATAAGAACCAAAAAATTGAATAAGTTTTACTCTGGCCTTATCGCCATGACTCCATGACTAACATAATTCGAAGAAAAGTTTGTCTTACCCTCCATACATGAATTATAAACCATATCCATATATAAACCTCATGAACCGATCGTTCTATAATTCAATAGGAAAGAAAAACATTTTTTTGTTAGCATTGAGATTTTAAAAGAATTTGTAAACATAATTTTTAACAGAGTACTTTTAATTTGTTAATTATTGAATAATGCTAATATCGACACGCTAAATTGCCGGTCATTTATAATATTGCCATATAATTCACTATAATTTTCGTCCCTATATGCAAGAAAACTTATCCTCAATAGATCCCGAAGAACCAACAAGTCTAATGCAATGAGTCGCAACATGGAAGGAGTCGAATAGTAAAAAAAAAAACATACCGAGAAAAGAATAGTCACTTAAAAGATCGAATTGCGACTGCGACCCCACATCCAATGACATTGTTGTAAGATATATTCCTTAACCCACAAAAACCAAAATAGAGGATTCGAGACTTTTCCGCCAAGTAAATAAGTAACAAAAAAGGTATTGTTTGTAACTTTAATTTATGCCAACAATCTAAAGTGCATGTGTGCGTCGTATATAAAGAAAGTGGGTTATGCGAGGTGGTTATATTGAGAGGAACGAAAGCAACAGTGCAAAAGAGAAAGTTGCAAATGGAAAGAATGGAAGGTGCAAAAAAGAAAATAATCGTACGCACGCACATACATACGTGCCAAATTACAATAGTTATGTTGTGAAATGTTACATTGAAGATTAAGTGCCCCGCACAATTGATTTTAATTACAATTTCTGTGGCGCAGCACCTCATTCATCCTCTTAATGAGTCCGTTTTTCGCCATAAGAATGCAACACTCATTGAACAAAAGGTCGGAATAACCTTAGAAAAGATTTGAACCATTTTCATGGCGTAATGCATTATTTCCCTTTTATGGGTAGCTAAAGTTTCCCGTGATCAATATGTATATCATTTACATGAGACACTACACTGGACAGTAAATCTAGGTAAAACAGTAAAATCAATAGATTGTTTAGAACCTAACCATATTTGTCTCTTGTTTGATGAATTTAATTGTCATTGCTTTTCTTAAACGAAATAAATGAACGTTTATATAATTAGTTTAAATGAACTAATTTAATAATTTAATAAGTTGAATTAAAAATATAACTTATTCGTATATTGCACAGTTACCACAAAAAGTAACGCCTATAGTGCATACATCTTAATTTCAACAAAAAAGTTTTAAGTGGCCAAATTTAAGATGTCAATTAATATCACTTGTGGCACACAGTAATATTATATTATATGTTGCAATATATATTTCTTTAATTCAATATATATTATAATCATATTATTTACTTAAAAAAAATTATACTTAAAATAATATCCTTTCTTAAACAATTATAGATATTTAAAATAATTCTCATAATTTAAATAGTATCATTTGTTCAGTATTTCCTCTCTTTAATTCTTTAATAGAAATTATATATTTTACTTATTAATTTTTTTATAGTTTATTATTGACTCTCTATTGTTTTTAGATTTTTTTAATATCTATATTCTTAATAGTATATTATTATAATATTTGCAAATTTCAAACCCACTTCTAAAAATTTGCTAAAATTAATTCTAAATGTTTTTTAGTCTTGTATTTGTGCTTATAAAAGATGTATTGTTAAAAAATATCCAAGTTTCTGATTCAATTTTGCAATTAATTATTTTTTAATTAATTTTATTTATTTACTAACATAAAAAAGAAAAATTTTTAACAATTATATATATGAAACTTAACATTAAATAAACTTAATTTCAAAAGCTTCACAATTATCAAATTTAAAAATATAAATTAATCAATTAATAATAAAAAAGTAATTATATAAAATAGTCAAAATATTAAATTATTTAATTTTAAATTGCTATTACTTTATTAAAAATTATTTTATAGAAAATATAAAAATGTAACTTTGTTTAACTTAATTAGTTTTATTATTCTATATTAATATTTAATAACTATTAATTTTTTTGAATAAGAAGTAGCAGTTGAAAATTTTTTAATACTATTGAAGTTAATATATATATATTGTACAATATTAAAAATTTGCATTATATAAAATATAAAATTACAAGTTTTTAATTACTATTAATAAACCATAAAAATTTTTTTATTATAAAAATATATTCTATAAAATAATAAAATTAAAAAAGTTATTTTATTTTATCATGTTATATTTTAATAAAATCAAAATTTATATTATAAAAAAACATATTTTTTTTTTATATTAAATAATAACAAATAAATAAATCATATCTTTTTTTTAAAAAAAACTAAGTTGTAATACAGTACCCTACCAAAATATTGTGGACACTTTTTAAATTTTTATTATTTGAAATTGGCCAAGTAAATGTAACACA